GCTGCTTGGCCTGCTGTGTTCATCCAGCCCTGCACCTTGTTGTCTCGGATTCTCCAGCATCTGCAGTTCCTACTGTCTTTAAACCAGATGCATAGATTTGGGGTGAATGAAGTATATCAATAGTAATTTATTGCTTCAGGCACTTTTGATATATCCTTAAGATATATTTAAATCCTGAATGAATCAGTTTATAACAGAAACAATCCACTCCAATTGAATACTCGTTTTAATTCCCAGTAACCAAGTAATCTTCTAAGGATTTTTACATGTCTCAACTGAATTTTATTATCAGGCCATAAATTGAGTTGACTTGAACAATGGAAAATAAAACAAGCTTTATTTAGTTCAATTTAAACCAACATGCTTAACATAAGCAACGTTTGATGTGAAGTAGTCCACTTATCCTACTTCATTATATTTACTAATTGATTATTAATAAATGTACTACTTGATAATATTTCTTGTTGAAAAATGTGTGCCCCTGAGAGAAAATTGCATTATTTTAGGTAATTAGAACTATTGAAGAGTAAGAAAGCTCTAAAATTATATATTCTGTGATATCTATTAATTCAGCACCTGCTGAGATTACTATGAAGGACTCTCATTCTGAACCTCTCCCCTCACCTGAGTGCGGTGACCCTCAGATTAAACCGCCATCACCAGTCATCTCTCTCTGCCTCTAATGAGAGAGCAGCCTCATGGTTTGGTAAGACTATGGCAACTTCCCCTTTTACTTTCATTAATTCGGCAGACACCTCGTGCTCTTTTGTATCTGCATCTCTGTTGTTTTACATTTAGATCTGTTACATTTTTGCTGCTAAGATAAAATTGCTTTGAAGTTTTTCAAAACAACTGCTTAAATATTTCCTAAACAAACAATGAGTTCTTCTTGCAGTCTGTGTTTGTTTCTGTATAAAAAGGGACATCCACTCTTGCACTTTGAGTTTGTGTCTTTCCTTTGAAACATGATGAGTTTCAATCTTGAGCTGACTCACAGGCACTAGATTACAGCGCCCTTTTCGCACTCCAGAGCTTCGGATTTTCACCGTTGAGATGGGCAGCTCAAGTAGGGAAATTTCAGCACTGGTGGAGGCATTAAATTCCTCCAAGGTTTTCGACTGAATTCCAAGCAGTTTTTAAATAAAACAAAACAAATTCTTAAAGAAAGCAGTGCACGGTACTTAAATGAACAAAAAGTAATTTGTTGCTCATGTGCCACATGTAACTCTGCTGATCAGTCTGATAGATAATGCTGGAGGTAACCTTGGCAGTGTGCATTAACCAGGTCTGTTTCATCAGGCTTTCTTTTTGAGTAAAGTCAGTTGAATTAAGTAACTAATGTTTGACAAAGCTACACAAGAATCCGGAATTCGAGATCTAATTTCCTAACAGCATACAACCAGAAGCAAACCACAGACTGTCAAAATTGGAACCTGCAAATGCTGCAGGATAGAATAGCCAAAAGGAAAAAGATGAGATAGACTTGTAAAGTAATTTTGTGTTTTACAGTGGTGCTGTTGCATTCTCATTGTAGATGCAGCTAGCTTTGAGTCTAATGTAAAACTGCCTGGATTCCCTAAAACCAGCTGTTCGAAAGATGTGTTCTTTTATCTTGGCTTTCGTAGCATTATGTTCAGTTTGCATATGGCAACTCAAGATCCACATCACAGGAAACCAGCAGCACATTATGTGAAAAATTTACATTTACATAGCACCTTTCACAATTTCAGTACACTACAGTTAATAAAATATGTTTGATGAGTAGTCATCTTTGCAAATTAATTATCTCAATTCTCACAATTATACCAAATTATACAAATAGGAATGAAATAATTAGTATCTGTTCAAGTGTTGATTAAGGGAGAAATTCTCTCAAGAATCTTGAAATAATTATTCAATCATGCCCACCTTCTGAACAGTTTGTGCAGCAGGTTATCAGTCAGATTACAAGGTCAACCCTTTGGAAATATGTTTTTCCCATGTTGATAGTAAGATGGTTTTGAGGTTGGTTGGCTTGCCGAGCTGGTTTGTTGTTCCGCAGACGTTTCGTTACCGTGCTTGGTAACATCCTCAGCGACGCTTCATCAGAGGCTGCAGTGTGTTTTCCTGCCTGGCTTTTAAACTCTGGGGTCCGTTGCGATGGATTGCCTCACTTCTGGGTTTCCTCCGTAGTGGAATGTATATGGGGTCGATTATGTGTTTATTAATAGCCTGCTTTATGGAGTGCCATGCTTCCAGGAATTCTCGTGCTTGTCTCTGTCTAGCCTGTCCCAGGATCTTGGTGTTGTCCCAGTCGAAGTCGTGCTTCTCCTTGTCCATGTGGATTGAGATGAGTGAGTATTGGTCGTGTCTTTTTGTAGCCAGTTGGTGTTCATGTACTCTTGTTGTTAGTTTCCTTCCTGTTTGTCCGATGTAGTGTTTCTCGCAGTCTCTGCAGGGGATCTTGTAGATGACATTGGTCCTGTCCATGGCGGGGAGTGGGCCTTTAGTTCGGGTGAGCACTTGTCGTAGAGTTGATGTGGGTTTGTGGGCTACTCTGATGCCCAGCGGTCGTAGAAGTCTTGTGGTGAGTTCTGACATGCTCCTGATGTAGGGTAGTGTGATGAGCGTGTCAGGGCTTGTAGAATCTTTCTGATGCTGTTCCTGTAGGCATCTCCTGACCCAGTTCTTTGGATATCCATTATCCTTGAACACTTGGAAGAGGTATTCCTCCTCCTCTTGGTGTAGTTCCATGTTGCTGCAGTGTGTTGTTGCCCTTTTAAAGTGTTCGCACGCAGCTTCGTTTGTGTGTGCTGAGATGGTTACTATTGAAGTTCAATACCAGGTCTGTGTGTGTGGCTTTTCGGTGTACTTTCGTTTGCAGTTCCCCATTTGTCTTGCACTCTACCATGACGTCCAGGAATGGGAGTTGTTTGTTCTGCTCCTCCTCTCTGGTGAATTTTATTCCGGTGAGGGTGTTGTTTATGAGTTTGTGTGTCTCTTCTAATTTGGTCCGTTTAATGATGACAAAGGTGTCGTCTACGTAGCGTATCCATAGTTTAGGTTGGATTTGCGGAAGGGCAGTCCTTTCCAGTCTTTGCATCACTGCTTCTGCTATGAGCCCGGAGATAGGCGATCCCCATGGGTGTCCCGTTGATTTGCTCGTATGTTTGGCCGTTGAAGGTGAAGTGGGTGGTCAGGCATAGGTCCAGTAGTTTAAGTAACAACACACTGCAGCAACATGGAACTACGCCAAGAGGAGGAGGAATACCTCTTCCAAGTGTTCATGGATAATGGATATCCAAAGAACTGGGTCAGGAGATGCCTACAGGAACAGCATCAGAAAGATTCTACACGCCCCGACACACTCATCACACTACCCTACATCAGGAACACGTCCGAACTCACCACAAGACTTCTACGACCGCTGGGCATCAGAGTGGCACACAAACCTACGTCAACCCTACAACAAGTGCTCACCCGAACTAAAGACCCACTCCCCACCATGGACAGGACCAATGTCACCTACAAGATCCCCTGCAGGGACTGCAAGAAACACTACATCGGACAAACAAGAAGGAAACTAACAACAAGAGTACATGAACACCAACTGGCTACAAAAAGATACGACCAATACTCATTCATCTCAATCCACATGGACAAGGAGAACCACGACTTCGACTGGGACAACACCAAGATCCTGGGACAGGCTAGGCAGAGACAAGCACGAGAATTCCTGGAAGCATGACACTCCATGAAGCAGGCTATTAATAAACACATTGAACTCGACCCCATATACGTTCCACTACGGAGGAAACCCGGAAGTGAGGCAATCCATCGCAACGGACCCCAGAGTTTAAAAGCCAGGCGGGAAAACACACTGACGCTTCATCAGAGGCTGCACTGAGGATGTTACCAAGCACGGTAACAAAATGTCTGCGGAACACAAACCAGCTCAGCGAGCCAACCAACCTCGACACCCACAACCCGAACTACAAATCTACTCCAAAACCCAAGATGGTTTGGAAAGTCCATTTAAGAGTCTCAAATCATTTGGTACTGTACCAGATCTTTTAGTTACAATTTCCATTTTGTCCAAGAGTTTGGGATAGATAAGAGGGTGAGAATTTTCATATTGGCTATTCAGTATAGGTTTTAATTGATGCATAAATTCTACAGTTCATTAGAACAGTATGTAACAATTTTCATGATGAGAAATAGCAGCAAATCCTTATCATTCGCATTCAATAATTTTCAAAGATTTGTAACAATATTGTGCTAATATAATAATTTAATACAATATGATAATTCAATATTTAAACAACATAACAATTAAAACATCTGGATGAGCAGCAAAGTCACATACACTTGTTTGCTCCAACCATGTTTGGAACAATTATTATGGATAAGTTGGCTTCTGGGCAATAGAGTGAAAGAGACAGTCACCTGTTATACATCTCCTTTTGATCATAGCAACTGAATTGATATTTGTCCATTTTATTGGCAAAAGTATGAATGAACTGATTACAAAATGAAGATTGTGGGCCAACATTTTGATGAGCCTGTTTCAAGTGAGGGGGAGTGGAACATACAGCTGTCCAAATTGAAGGATGCCAACCCCATCATAAATTGTGGTGACAAGAACATTGAATAGTTTGGCACAGCCCATAGCTCTCAATGTGAACCACATGTACTATCTTGATAATAATATCCTGATGCTGCAATCTGAATTTATTTTATCAAGCAGGAAAGGGAAAGAAAAATGCGAAGACAGAGCCAAAAGGGGCTGTGAGCAAGGTCACTGGAAAGAAAATTACCAGGATCATTGGTCTGGGTAAAAAGAAGCCATCAACAGATGAACAAACCTCCTCCGCTGAGGAAGACATCCCTACCTGTGGTATGTTTTGTAATGCCCTTGGCAGAAGTCAAGCTTGTTAACTTCAGGGCTTCAGAAATGGGACCTAATGTTGTATTTTTATGTTTAAATATTTCAGTTCATTTTTACAAAATGAATTTATGAATTGTTTTCAACATCATTGGGCTGTCTTGATAATTCAGCAAAGTTTAGGCAAATGATCAGGAGAATCCCTATAGAAATGCAACCCCTGTCTGTTCATGGAAATCATTTATATAAATTGCTCACTTTGGCAGAGGAAGGTTGAACTGTTTTATTTTCCATTGTACCTCCTAGTTTAAGTGTGCTGTCATTCATAATAGATCACAGATGAACAAAAACCGAGTGCTCCAAGTTGATATGGTCATGCACTGAGTATTTAAGTTTAAAATGCATGTTGTTGATGAACAATATATGCAGTGTTACAGAAAAACTCATATTTAGGAAAGCTTGCTGATAGGGCTCATTTTCATCTTTGGTGCTACAGTAGCTTTGAAAATGAACAGACTGGAATAGTTGTGTCAGAGTTAAACAAAAGTTGTGTTGTGTGCATAGAGGATAAGCAATCTCCCTCCTGCCCTCCTCTTTCCAGGCTATCTGAATGTGTTATCTAACAATCGATGGAGGGAACGCTGGTGCAGAGTGAAAGAAAACAAACTAATCCTCCACAAAGATAGAACTGACCTGAAAATTCAAATGGCTTCTATTCCACTACGCGGATGTGAACTCATTCCAGGCCTGGATTCCAAACATCCACTGGCATTTCGTTTGCTTAGGAATGGACAAGAAGTTGCAGTTTTAGAGGTGCAGTATTGCTACATTCAACGAATTACTATTATTGAACTGAAAGCATTAATATCATTTTTCCAGTGTCTGTATTGTTATTTCAATAATAATTAAACATTGAGAAAAGTTCTTCTGTTCTTGATTTTATGACAATAATAACAACAACATATATTTATGCAGTACCTCTAACGTAATGTAATGTCCCAAGGTGTTAATTCATAGCAGTCTTATATAGACAAAGTGTGGAGAGTTACTGAAGAGATAGCAGATTAGATCAAGGACTTTTGCTTTAAGTAGTCTTTTGAAGGAGAAAGTGAGATAGAGAGGTTGATGGAGCGAATTCGAGAACTTGGGGCCTAGATAACTGAAGGCACAGCCAACAATGGTGGAACAGTTATAAACAAATTCTCAAAAGGCAGAATTGGAGGAGCACAGAGATGATAGGAGATTGGGACCTGTTGTCAATTTAGAAATAGGAAACAAAATGGAGACAGACAGGAGTATATTGGAATAGTTGAGTCTAGAAGTAACAAAGGCGTGGCTGAGCATTTTAGCAGCATTTGGGCTGAAACTGGGATGAGGGCGAGCAATGTTCTGGAATTGCAAATAGGTGGCCTTAGTGACAAGCACAAAAATGAGGTCTGAAGCTTGTCTTAGGATCAAATGTTGATAGCAAGATTGTAAACAGACTGGCCTAATTTCAGACTGTTGCCAAGGAGAAGGATGAAGTTATTACCTAGTGAATGGAATTTGGAAAACAGATGAAAAACAATTGCTTCAGTATTCAGTATTAAATCAGAGGGCATTTCTGCTCATTCAGTACTGAATGTCACATAAGCAATCTGGTAATTTTGTAACAGTGGAGGATTCAAGAGAAGTGTTGGTGTGGTAGAACTGGTTACCTCCTAAGTACATGTGAAAACTCAACTGTGTCTTTGGTTGATGTCACCAAGAGGCAACATTGGTAGATATGAGAAACAACTGTGCTGGAGCAGAAGATAAGCTAGTAACTGGATAGAAAAGAATACAGCCTGGTGAGAGAAGTCACATCCATCAAAAACAATAGGAAAGATGATGTGGTCAACCATATCAGAAGCTGAGGTCCAGTGGTAAATTTTACTTTTGTCATAGTCACAGAGGATATCATTATAACTTTAAAAGGAGCTTTATTGAGATGGGAGATAATGGCAGATATTAAGAGAAGGACAACACCTAAAGAGAGAAAATTAATTTACAATATTGGCTAGCAAGGGGCCAAGTAGGGAAATTGGGTGATCAGCAGTTCAGTGAGATTAGGATTGAGGAAGCTGGAAGCAGACTTCATAGACAAAGTGTGCTCAGAGAGGACATGAAGGGAAAAGGGAAGGAATTGGAGAAAGCTATGACCTCAGGGGCTAGGGGCAGGAAGAGCATCAAAGGATTGGAGCAATTTTGAATGAGGAAATATAATAGGAAAGCAAACAGATTGTTAGTTCAGTATCAACTGCTATATTTAGTACTAAAAATGCAAATTTTACAGAACAGAGCATTAACCTCTTGGGCATCTCATTATATATACTGTGTAATGAAATTACAGTGTAAGCTAATGGTAAAAGATAGTTGCTTTGATGGATGTTTGACAGGTTTAACATTTTAAATTGATATTTTGAATAACAAAATCATTGTAAAACACTCATAAGGGTAAGGTGAGATCAGGAAGGATTATAGGGAGAGCGAGTGATATTTCATGGAATCTTAATGGATCCAAGGCGAACTCCTTTACAGAATGTGTTGTTCGCTTTTCTGCTTTTAATGGCAAGGAATAAACTTGACTCAGCAGTTCCCATTTTGCCATTTGAAGGAGCAGGAAAGGTCCACAGTTAAAGGAATTCAACTCTTCCTGCTGTGTTCAGAGCTGCTGCTTGTCTGTTTTGAATATTGTCATTGCATATAATGCTTGTCCCAGGGAACATCCTGACTTCCAAGTGTGAAAATAAATACACATTATCTCTGGAAGTATTTTAATTATGTCGCTGCTTCTGGTTACCACGTATGTAGCTTTAGCCAAAACACTGATATAACTCACATGCGTATAGCAAGAATGTAACATAAAGAAGGTAATTCATTTAACTACAATCAAATAATAATAAGAATACATGTGCTTTAAAGTTAACTATAATGAAATAATGCTACTAATACTTTGGATTATTTCATAAAGGTTTACTTCATTACTGAGTGATGTTTTGTGTTTGACATATTTTAAAAGATATTTTCATTTGTTGCATTATATTACTAACTGCTTATTGCCAAGCGTGGTGTTCACTGACTACTAAACTACATTGTCAGAATTTTATTTTGCCTTCCACTTCCTGATTTAAATCTGTTTCTGAACGAGGCTGGCTCCCAGAGTTGGTCTTGTTTTGGCTTTCCTTTGCAATGCTGTAACCGGTTGAACATCTTTCTTTACTACTTACTAACAGAAAATAAAGACAAGATCTTAAAGGGCTTTTATTTTTATTATTTTGCCTTATTGGAAAACACTGCATCAGCACAGTAGCCTCTATATACCAATCAGAAAGTACATTTAAGCACAAATCTTCTAAATTGTTATAGCTGTGAGTTTCTTTCCCATTTTGTGTTTCTACATAAATGATGGTAGCGTCATGCTATCATCATCAGTGCAACAAAGCAAATGTTTCAATAATAACGTGATACAGTAGAACCATTTTTTCCTATTCAGTAAGGTTGTTAGGGTAAGAACAAATGTAGCTTGAAAAAGATTTTAAGCTAATTTGCCTATGTGCCAAATATAGAAATAGCCATTTAACTTGAAGAATTGAAGCTTTGTTCACCACAAAGCAATTCATGTCAATTATGACGAATGAGTTTAAAATTATGAAATGATGGGACAGAGAAGATAGAAGTCATATATTTCTAGTACTTGATGGGGTCTAGACCAAGGAATCCACAGATATGATTTACAGCAGGCAGTGAGAGAGGTTTCCATCCACAGTGAGCTGTGGAACTCAGGAACTCGCTACCCAGGCAAGTACTTGAGGCAGAAACTATGGGTGGAATATTTCCAGGCCCTGATTGATGCGAATTCTGGCAGGAAATTTGGGAGAATCATGTGAAAGGTTAAGCAAGGCCTTTCTCGATATCAAGAGTGCAAGTCACATTTTCCAACTATGCTCTGGCCAGTGAGACACGGTTCTCACTAGACAGTGGCTACAAAGCCGTTATTGCTCATTATCACTTGTTAATTACTTAATTCTATCACACCAGGAATCTATGACATGCAAGTCTGAGCAGGGACTTAGTGACTGGAAAAAAAACAAAGTTGCTGGAAAAGCTCAGCAGGTCTGGCAGCATCTATGAAGGAGAAAACAGAGTTAACGTTTCGGGTCCGGTGACCCTTCCTCAGAACTGAGTTCTGCCATTGTGACAGCAGTAGAGTATGAGCCTTGATGGGAGGTGTGTGCAGTAATAGTGACAGTGAGTGTGAGATGGCACAAACAAGATTGTGACACTTACTCTGTCAGAGAAGTAAAGGTCATTGAACTTCTTCCCACACTGGTAGGGGTTCCTCCATAAGGCACTGACACAACTGGCAACCTAGGAGCAGGTTGGCATGGCCTGGTGTCTTGACCTTCTCTGCTGATCATGTGGGAAAGGAACATCCCATTCACCAGGACCTTCATGTCATGAGCAATTCAGGGCAGTTGCAGACTGACACATCATAACTAGGTCTCAACAGCCTTTTAAAGATGGTGCCAGAGGCAGGGATCCTGAGATATCCTGGCAGTGGTGAGTACTTCCAGCTACGGTGAGTGGGAAAATCAGCCTAGCATTGGACAAGAGTGGCGCCACAGTTACGTGGTAGTAGTTAATGACCTGAGTTTGGAACAGTAGCACGAGAAACGCGCTGGATCTTCTGGAGAAAAACCCTCCATGAAATGCAATGAAAATGACACTTTGCCAAACTATGGTAAGATCAACCCTAAGCCAACTTTCAAGATTAGCTCAGATAGATGGGTGACAAGAAATGTGAACAGAGAGCTAAAACTGATTAAGATTGTGAACAACTTAACATAGTGGTTGGGTCAAATAGCCTATTTTAATGAGAACCGAAAGAACTGTGGATGCTGTAAATCAGGAACAAAAGTTCTGAGGAAGGGTCACCGGACCCAAAACGGTAACCCTGATTTTTTTTTTTCACGGATGCTGCCAGACCTACTGAGTTTTTTCAGCAGCCTCAGTTTTTGAGCCTATTTTAATGTTTTACCTTTGTAACAGCCACCAGATCTGTCTGTACCATGGCCTGTGAACTGTGAATTTATACGGGTCTTTTCGCCCCCTTTTGTTTTTGAATGTTTGGATTTTAAAAAATAAGCAGCTAAATAGCTTTAGTTTTGAACAACATCAGAGGTCAGGTTTATTTTACACAATTGTTGATGAAAGCTACGAAATATAAATGTTGCACAGTTATTTGATGAAATAAAGATGCAAAGATTAGAAGTTGACACAGATAAGAAGATACTTATAAAGATCGAAGTCAGGTGAATCTATTATTGCCACAGACATGGCTTACTTGAAGATTTTTCCTTTCCAAAAGTGAAAGGAATGAAAACTTGAAATCAGAATTCACTGGCTACAATGGCTTCTGTAGTTGAATAATTGGAGGTTGTTTGCACAAGTAAACTCAGTAAGTAGAGCAAGCTTTGTAAGAGAGAGAGAGAGAGAAAGTTTCTTCTTCCTCAATGGTTCTGTGGTTATTGTAATCTGCCTGTAGATTGCCTGAGAGATAGTAGGAACTGCAGATGCTGGAGAATCCGAGACAACAAGGTGCAGGGCTGGACGAAAACAGCAGGCCAAGCAGCATCACAGGAGCAGAGAGGCTGACGTTTCGGGCCGAGACCCTTCATCAGAAAAGGGGGAGGGGAAGGGGGTTCTGAAATAAATAGGGAGAGAGTGGGAGGCGGATAGAGGAGAGGATAGGTGGAGAGGAAACAAACAAGTCGAAGAGGCGGGGATGGAGC